CGGCGATAACCGCCTATTGGCGAGGCCCGTGCAGGCGCTAGAACTCCAGACGACCGACGAGACTGAACGCGAATCGTTTAGAAATCACTTTGTTCCTTAAATTCGACGATTACCATCGGTTTTTCTTTTCTTTTTTTTTTTTTTTTTTTTTTTTCTATCCTACGAAGGCGTACGGTCGCGTTGGTCGAAGAGCGCGAGGAAAGGATGCAAAGGCGATCGATGGATATCCTGTGTGGGATTAGACGGAATGGAAGGGGTAGGATTTTGTTATTCGACGGGGATGATGGGGGCGACGAAGAGAAACGGAGAACACGCGCGACGGGTAGAAACGGTTGTATCGGCAGGAGGCGCACTCAGGAGTTAAAATCACTCGTCGCTCGCGGAAAACATTCATTTGCAAGAGCAAACATTCCTCGCTATTTATCGAGTGTCAGAGGGAATACCTGCGGCCCATTTTCGTATCGAGCGTCGAAGGGACCCGATGAGAGGAGAGCGAGAGAGGAGCACGGTGGACGCGAGGGTTGGGTTGGGTTGCGGGGGGGGGGGGGGGGGAGGAAAAGAGAGGGAAAAAAACAGGAATCGAGCGCAACAAAAACATAACTTTTCCGCGATGGCGGCGCGAAGGGTGCTCGAGAAACGAGTGGTCCTTCTCTAGTATTCCATTGGTGTTATATAGCTCGTCAGATCGAATGTTTGTTTTCAGAAAAATAGACAGAAACGAGAGGAGAGAGCGAGCACCGGCGATGTTAACACCGTTCGACCCCTCGCGCGCCCACCGGCCTCCTCTTCTAGTACGCATTCACGATGCCCAAAACGTCGCGTGCTTTTTTTCCCCGCTTTGTCCCGCGTCTTTTGTTATTCCCCACCGGTCGAGGCTTCGTTTTTTAACACTTTGCTAGATCGAGCCCTACCTTCCCTGTCAACGATCCACCGATGATCAACCCCGAAACAATCCCGAACGCGCGATACACGCTAGGCGTTGAAAATTTATGAAAATCCGGTAGCGAGACGATGTTTCTCATCGGTGAAAGGTCTTCCGATAGAAAGGATTCGCCGCCGACTTTATTCCGTTCGATCGAATCCTCTCGTTTCGTAAGACGCGCGGTTGTTCCGCTAGAAACGGAGCCAAGAATCGCTCTTGTATCCGAAGGAATAGAAGCACAGCTTATCGGTACGCTTAGAGACGTACGAAAACGAAAACACGAGCGGAGCCTGCTGATTGCTGGTACAGTCGTTTCTGGCGTCGATTCGAGGCAAGGTTAAGCGAGATCGTGGAAATCGATAGAGATCCACAACGCGGCTTCTTCTCGTACCGTGCCTGATAAATCAACGATTTATTCCCATCGAAGATACCGAGCCGTTCTCTGAACCATCGTTCATCCTCCGACGAAATACAGAGCGGTGATCAGTTGCGCGATCGAAACGAGCGCAGATTTTCTGCTCGAAACAGAAAGCAGTCGTTCCCGCGCCCGCCTCCTCTTCGTTGATACGAAGCAACGCTCTCCGCTTCTCTTATCGTCAGAAGTCACACGATAAACCCGTCGACGTTTATTCTCCAAATATACTCGCGTCTCTGTTTCTCTCCTCGCGAATCTCTCGCCGAGAGATCGATGCTAATTGCGTGGCCTATTCAACAGGGAGGGCCTTGTTTCAATAACGAGAAATTTCAGAAAAATTCTCAATTCGATCGGGATTAAGGTTCCTGTAGAATTTGGATTTTTTCAATATTCCAAGGATTTGATTTTTAAATTTTACAGGATGCGCATGCATCGATCGTATCGCTGTTAATGAGCTACCGATTACAACCAATGCCGTGGAGATAAATACTTTCGATAACGAATCGCATCTGATCCAGTTGCAATTTCGAATTCAGAGCCGTCGTTTTCGTGAATGTTAATTGCATAGTATTCCAGGTGGCTGTTTCATTTGAAATGTGCCGTATGCATTAACACGTTCGCTGCGAACCGAGGGGCTGCGGACGTTCGCCGGGTGAATGAAATAAATATTAATATTAATATCATTAGTATTAATGTTGATAGTATTAATTGAGTGTGACGCGGATACGCGTCGGACACAGGCGGCCGCGATCCCTTTTTACATTATTATTCTTAGCCGAATTAACGATGCGAATTATACTTTGAAAAATGAACATCCCGTGATATACGGAATCAAAGTGTTATTCGAATTAATCATCGATCATCGATGACACCCATAGCGATGAACGCTGAGCCCAAAAAACGGTCAGTTTTTTTCAACATCCTTCTCGATACGTTGTTTTGTTTGTTTGAAACGGTGGATCGTATAATGTGCGATTATTATTCTCGCGTAGGGTTCGTCGGTTATCGGTCGTTTAATGATCGTACGCAAATCGGAGCGCGAGTCGATGCTGTGTGTTCGAGGCGAGTTTGATGATAAGCGACGCGTTTCTCGGATACAACGACGAGGGAAAAAAGTATGAATTCAGACAAAGGGAAAGGGAAAGAAAGAAAAGGATTATAAAAAGAAAGAAGAAGAAAAAAAAAAGAAAGAAAGAAAGCAAGTGTGTTGGTAAGAAATCGATTGAGAAAAGTTGAAGGTGACAAGTACCTCTGAAATAAGCAAAGTTCCACAGACCGATCATTTGGAGTTGTGCTGGTCCAAGTTGGGAAGCCAGGTTAGCGTGGCTAAACGAGAATCGATCGTTTTATTCGTCGCGATTGACTTTATACCGTCCAATAACGATCCAAGATCACCGATCGATGCCGATATCCTCGTCATGTCAAACGACGAAAATGATCCTGTTTCCGATGATGACGACGATGACGACGACCGATGACGACGACGACGACGACGACGACGATGGCAAAGTGGAATATCACGATAAACCTACAGCAGAGATAACGTTCACTCTTGCCAGTCTGATAGCTTTCTTCTCTCTCTCTCCATCTCTCTTTTTCTCCTTCGTTTTTCCCCCTTTTTTCCTTTTCCTTTTATTTCTACACGAAACTAGATTATAAATCGACGCTTTCGTGGAACGAAAACAAGTGAATCACTTTACTTTCGCCGCGAACAGATTCCTTTGCACAGGTGCGCGACGCGCTCCTTCAGACACTTTGAAAACGTTCAAAATCTTCTTCTCGTCGTTCACTCGGCGTTTAGGTACAAAGAATAAATCAGTTTCACGGTTTGTTTTACAACGATCCTATGAAAAGACTTTGGGAGCCGGGCACGAATCGTCCGAAAGGAATACACTAACGAGATGAAAACAATCTCCGCGAGGTTCCGTAGAGTCGGCGACGCTTATAAATTTAAACGAGAACCGCGCTTCGCGGATATATTTGAATGGAACGACACTCGGGCACCGTTCGCGAGGATCGAAACTCGTTCTCGGAGCGAATTCGGTTTCAGCCTTGAAGGTTCCGCGGAGTCGGCGACGCACGGCGCGGCGCGGCACGGCGCGGCGTGCGCGTATTCGAACGGACCGCGGATTTTCGTCGATCGAAAACACTCGGGTAACTGGTTGTTCGCGAGGAAATCTCGATTCAAGCACGAGCAGTAACGTTCGTATCCTCTTTATTGGCACACGATCGAGCCGTCGAAGCAACTGGTCACTGATTCGGTTCGCGTCTCGCGTGGCCGACACGAATGCACTCCGTTGCGATCAAACGCATCGTCGGTGAACCGGTGATTCACGTGCACCACGATCGGCGATCACAGCCGGCCGATCATCGTTGCTAGCTGCCGCCAGCCAGCCAACGTCTCACGAGGGCCGTTCTCTCTGTCGGTCACGAACAGCACGATCATCGCACGAGTCCTTCTCTCCCGTCAGCAACGTTCACCTTGACCAGACGACGACGACGACGGGATAGCGATCAGCGCTGGCTGACAGAAACCGACTCTTAGCGCACGGGATTCGAAACCGATCGGAAACGAAAGAAATTCAAAGTACCATTCGACTTTAAAACGACTAATCCGAGAAACGCGAGGCGCGAGATCACGTCGAAAAAATCATCGAGTAACCCTCGAAAAACTGATTTGCTCTCAGAGCCGAGAGAGAGAAGAGCGTGTTTCGTCACTCGGCGCTGGCCAGACGATAATTTCAGAGGCGATTAGATGACCCAACGGCGACGATAGTGTAACGAGACCGTATTTTGCGGATCAGTATGATCTCTCTCTTTCTCTTTTTACTCGCTCGTTTGCTCTTTCGCTCTCTGTCTCCCTTCCACTTTATCTCTCTCTCTCTTTCCCTTATCCCTCCTACCACCTATCCCCTCCCCGTCTCTCTTTCTCTCACTTTTTCCTTTCTCGCGTTTTGCAAATCGCCGAAGCAGACGATCGCATCGTCGGATACCGAGATTCTTCACGGTCCTTCTCCTTCTTTCTTTTCCTTTCTTTCGTTCCTTAGCGATCCCCCTTTCTCTACCTAACTCGAATCTAACAACACGTTTTCGAACACTCTCTTGTTTTGCACGAGACGATCGTCGTGACGACGTGACGCGACGCGAAGCGGCGCGAAGCAGCGTGGTTCAAGCAAAGAGCACACACTAGTTTAGAGTAGCAGGCACGTGTCTAGCCAGCGGCGTGTTTTAATCGGCGTTGGAGGAGCACTTCTCCGCTAGTAGGTGCCGGCCGGGGTAGCCTCTGTCTGTCGCGTGTACCCTACACGCGCTGCTACATGTGTGCACGCGTGTATACATTGTGGGGGAGACGGTGGATCAGGAGGGAGCACAGACAGAGAGACCGAGAGAGAGAATATCAGAGTAATGTGTATGTGCACGGAGGAGCGTAACGCGCGCGTGTAAGAGAGAGCCGTAGAGCGAGGAAAAGGAGGGAGGGCGGGAAGATTCGAAACCGCGCGTAGATCGCGGCGCGCGCTCGCGATGACGTCGTCGTTTTGGCAAAACGTGGACGACGCACAGGTGGGCAAAACGGTCGCGTCTGCATGATTTTCTACCGATGCACGCGTTTTCGAGCATGGTAAAGAACGGGAGACACGACGATGCGTGTTAGCTGGTACTCACCGGAGTTGTAATATTCCTTAAAGTAGCGTGTCGCCGCACGTTGGACGATCGAGTAATACAAGTTCACGTATGACGTCGACTGGTTCTGTGCCGAGAGCGCCATTTACACTGTTTATTCGTCGCGCGTTTGTTCACAATATACCTTTTTCTCTATTCTTTCTATCAAACTCTTCTCGCCGGTTTTCGTTCCGGGACAGAGCGACGTTACGTGGATGCGTGTTACCGCGCCGTTCGTCTATACATGTATGTATACGTGGGTGGCAAAGTGTCGTAGAAAATCGTATATAACGTAGATCCGAAGCGCGCACGTTCGCGTGATCACGGCGGGCAAGATGTGACGTGACGAACGACAAACGCGCGAAACGTGTGTCTTGCTCGTTCGGCTCTCGGTATTTCTTCTCTCTTCAGCTCCTTTCGCGCGTTCCTTCTTTTCCTCTTTGCCGATTCTTTATTACGTCGCGATCCCTCCGTGTAAACGAGATCGTTTCGAATCACGAGCGTAAAGAAAAACTCCGCCGGAAAATAAAATAAAATAAAAAAAAAAAATTAAAAAAAAAAAGAAAACAAAAACGAAGAACAACTTTTCTTCTTCTCCTCCTCCTCCTCCTACTACTCCACCTCGACCGGTCCTCCCTTTCGATCACGTTTTTCCGGTACGGCCTTCAAGCAGCGAGACGGTCTCGCATGCCGGCTAGAGGCCCGCGACTTTGATCCTCGGCACACTCGCTTTCGGGTTACCCGCGCCGGTAGACACAAACTCGGTAGACTCGGCCTGAGCCCCCCCGAGTAACTCGCCAAGACCGAGACACTGGCGAGCTGCAGCGTTGCCACACTTCCGTCGCCGCGGTGCGCGTCCACGGAGTGGGGATTTCTGGACTGGTTCGGCTTTGGGATGGTAGACAGCGTCGTCGGGTGGAGGACGAGCGGAGAAGGTGCCGGCGTTGAACGAGAGTGGTGATGGTGGCAGGGGCGGATTCACGCGAGTCCGGTTCCTCTCCGTGAACCGAGATCCTTGATCGTGGCCACGGGACGAAAACCCCTCTAGGAACCCCCCTTCTTTTTCACCGTCGCTACTGCACCAGTCCTAACCGGCACGGCAAATTGGGGTAGCGTGACGGGCAAAATTTCGATCGTTCGCATGCAGACGATTGCCGGTCAACGAGTTCCTCTTGATTTTCTGCTTAATTGGATGCCAGAGAGTTTATACTTTGTTCGCGGCTTAATTACAGATCCGTCGGACTCCTGGTGCGTCCTGGTCCCTCGGTGGGCAGGGTCGCGCTCCGGGGACCGGTTTAAGTAATTTTCGAAAATTACCAGCTCCCGTGTGCACGCCTCGGGAAAAGGATCTCTATCGCCGATTTGTATCGCGTCTCGGCTAAGGAAAAGTTTGAAAGCTAGGATGATTATATTTTTGGATGAGGTCATTTATGGAATAAAATGGTATCTCTGTTTGAGTACCGATCGAGGACGATCGGCCGAGAAATCGGCGCGAGAATCCAAGGGCGGCAAAACTCGAAGCTCGCCCCTGGCGGATGGAACGGAGGGTGGTGGCGACGGCGGTGGTGGTGGCGTCGGCGGCGGTGACCGCGTCAGAGGAGAGTGGGCCACGGAGGAGAGGAGGCGCCGTGTGCCAGAGAAAGGGAGACGGACCGAGAGAGGATCGAAAGGAGTCGGAGAGAGACAGTTATGTCCGTTGCACGAACGTAGAAGGGGGTTTGATAGCGCGTCGGGTGGGGGCAGCCAGTCGGTTGGTGGGGGTGTTTCGGCGGAGAAGAGTGTCCTCGGTGGGAGATCCTCCAGTCTTTTCCCCTCTTCCCTCCGCGGTTGCCCTCCCTTCTTCGTCTCTCGCTCCCTGGCCGATGTAGTACCCCTGGTTGCGCGGTGCGCCGTGATGCATCGCGCTGCCGGCCGCCTCTGCGAGTCACAAGGTATGCTCGTGCCACGAATACGAACTGCCTCTCCCAAATCAATATCAGTCGTCGAAAAAAAACGCGACTCGGCACCTATAATTGCCGAACTTCCGCGATAACCGTCTCTTCTCTCTGTCGGCCGTCTCTGGCCGCCGCCTCACCGCCTCGCCGTCACGGGGGCGACACAACCGCCCCTAACGGCTACGTTAGGTTAGGTTCACGCGCTAGCTTGATTAGGGCCTCCCTCCGTGCACCCGTAACACGCACGTTTCCCGCCACCCAATGTCCGCGCACGATGATTTCACTGACTATGCTGGAGGCTGCTCGTGTAGCCACGTGCACCCAACGCGACACGTTCGCGCTTCGTCGTTCGAAGGTTATGCCTGATGCTGCTGCTGCTGCTGCTGCAGGGAAAACAAAGCGGCTGCTGGCGCTTTCGCTCGCACAAAGCCGTGTTATCCTCTTGTCGTTGTTTCGCAGCCCAGTTTCCCAAACTGATCTCATCGAGCACGTTACGATCCCAGTTTCGTTTGGTAAAGATTCTTGCCGCATCCCGGATGTTTTTTCGACGGCGTGGCATTCGGGCAAACATCGCGGAATAAACCATTATTGTGATGCTCGCGGGCAAGCTTGACAATGCACCGTTGTGCCGAGCCGATTGTGAGTTATCGCCCGCTGTAACGGCGGTGTACGATAACAACGCTATTCGAACGAGCTTTTACCCAGGGACGTCCGAAGCGTAGGAATCGAGTTTTCCCTCTGCACTTGCAGGATGCAAATGCTAGGTCCACGCGCGTTCTGATCGTTCTCAAAGTGTCTGACGTTTTTAAATCGCAACGAAAGACACCAGAGAAGAAAGGGAAAAGCTCGTAGAAAGCGAAGAGAAGAAGAAGAAGAAGAAGAAGAAGAAGAGGACGAAGAAGAATGGAAAGCAGCGGAGCAACGTACCGGCCGAAGTTCTCGGCCACGAAACGAATTTAACGATCGCTCTGGCACATGGAAAGAGAGAGCCCGCAGGAGGAATGCCGTCGGTGGCTAGATGGCTGCGCTGCCGTCCCGAAAGACGCGACCAGCAGAGGAAGAAAAGTGCGCTTTAGCAGCAGCGGCAGCAGCAGCAGCAGCAGCAGCATCACAGCTCTGCAGCCGTGGGCCGCCTATATTTATCCGAGGATGCAATATTTGGCTGCGTCTTCTAGAGACTCGACCGGCCACATTCGTCCCAACTTCGAACGCGCGGATGGGCGCATGAACGAACGCAGCCTCGGAGCATCAGCCTACACCTATCTCTTTCTTTCCTTCTCATTCTCTCGCTTTTTCCCCTTTCTCTCCTTTCTCTCTCTTTCTCTCCTCCCTCCTCCCTTCTCTCACGATCTTTCTTTCTCTCTTTTTTTTTTTTTTCCTCCTCTTTCCTCGTGTCCTTCTTCATCCGCCTCCTCTCTTCTCTGCTCCTTCTTCAGCTTTATCACAATGAGCGACCGCGTGTGCGTGTCCGTGTCGTTAGGCAGTAGCTGTCGGTGCAGGCGTGGTTGGTTCCTTGCCCTCTGTCGCGTATTTATATCTAGCGAGTAGAGCGAATGCATTGCGGCTCGCTTCTTGTTTGCCGGCTCCGCTCGCTTCTCTCTTTCTTCGTTTCGACGACGATGCTCGCGGTCGACTCGCTGCGCTGGTCCACTCGCCGTCTCGCTTACACGCCGCCGCGGCCCTCGTCAAACCTGCTCCGAGCAACGTTAACGCCTAGCGCCGGCTAATCACCGGGATACGCCGATTTTTCTTTCTCTCTACGATCTACTTACCCGTTCCTACCGATATTTCCCCCATTTTCTTCTACCCTTAATCGTTTTTCAAACGAACCTATTCGAAATGAAAATATTTGTAGCAAAATCACTCCTGGTTCGATAGGGGTTTCATTTGCAAACGTTCCGCAACGATCGTCTTTAGGAGAAACGAAGAGAGCCGGTCGGAAACGAATGGAGAACGCGTACGCTGCAAAAAGTGGACCACGAGAACGGTCTTATTGGTCTTTGGTTCCATTATAACATCCTTGGTCGCGTATTACCATTCACTTTTTGTTCTAGCCGGTCCTATGGTGCCCCGTTAAATCCGCTCTAGAACGAGCACGTCTCGCTTAGCGGTTCGCGTGACGAGTTATAATTTCCAACAGTGTTGCGAAGAAGCAGCCCAGAATGTCTCGATTTGAAAGGCATCCATAATTTTACGACATCCGGCGTCGCACGGTTGACGCGTCCATCAGCATCGCAACCGTGGGTATTAAAAGAACGTGTAATCGTGAGATTACCCGGTTATCCAACTGCTTCTGCTCGCTTCTTCTATCATCCGTTTCGATTCCCCGATTCGAGGAAACCATGGATTAATTATGTTTTTTCCCCGTCTAGAAGTATCCCATCGCGGCGTTTCGTTGAACCGCTCTGGAAATGTACGCTCCTTATACAGGGTCACCGTAAACTCTACCTTGTACCGCGAAATTACAGTGATCGGTAAGCTGGAGCGCGAAATAAGAATAGAATGTTTCGTGGATGGGGCTCGTAAGCAACGGAAATTCGAAACGATTATCTGTGTACATTGGCTCGATGTTATAGTATAGTAGAACCATCAATGGATCAAAGTAGTTGGCGTTTGTGATAATGGAACGGCGAAATAGATACATAGAGCGTTCTTCTTCTTCTTCGATATTCAAATTATTATTAATATTTGGATCAAGATACAGTTATCTCTAAAATCAATAACCCTCGTCGAATCATCCGTGTCCGTCATCGAATTTCGTGTCACCACCGATGGTACGTTTCCAAAGCGCACCGTTTCTCGCTAATGAGCCAGTCGATTTATTTTTCACCTCAGACAGGCTATTTAGCACTGAAAACTCCGGTTTTCTTGCCTCGGTCGTGGAACGGATTTCTCCCAGCAATCGACGCGTTCGATTATTGGTAATTAAGCAGTCGCGTTTACCGCGAGATAAACGAAGGGGCAATGGCTCGTAGTCCCGGCCGATCGTATAAACATTCATTGCGTTTCCGATCTCGTCTACGCGCAGCAACGAGGAAAGTTTGTCTCTCGCCTCGTCTGCCCGCGATCCGCCTGATCTACTGAAAACGAGCACGATACCCTTTCCGAGGAAATCAGACGGGAGAAAGAAAGATGCACATGCATTTCTTAGCACGTGTTTCTTCCTTCGTTTATTGCAACTTAAAGCTTAATCCATAACACGTATCCCGAAGAAAGGAGAAAAAGATAGGGGATAGGGTGAAAGACTGTTAGAAAAAAAAAAAAAAAAAAAAAAAAATGACAAGTTGTCGTGGCTGTAAGGAAAGAACGACGGAAGGAATCGTGCCTCTTTAAAGTATCGGGAGCAATCTCCCCCCGGTTGCCACTGTTACAATTTCAAACAGTCCTGGGTTTCATTTATTTTTTATCGGGGAGAAGTTTGTTGACCTTGCAGTGCGAAACGCCAGGAATACATTGGAGCAGGCAGGAAAGTGGGGTAGAGTAGACGAGGAGGATGGCGGTGGTGGTGATAGTGGTGGTGGCGATGCTGGCGAATACCGTCGGAGGGGGTAAGGGACGTCAGGGTTGCGAGCCAACGATGGTGAGGGTTGTTAGAGAAAGAGTGGGATGAATCGGACGGTGAGCAAGTTATTTCGCGCGAAATGTACATTGGCCGAATTTGGCTCGCTGATTTTTCTTTTCCCCTCGCCTCTTTCTTCCCAACCGTTCGCTAAATTTCTCTTACTACGCGTTTCTAGTACGCCTCCTTGTAATATCGGTTATCAAGGATAATAATTTTCTAATCCGATATTTAAATTTCCCATTTCGAATTATATACTAACATAATTTTGATTTATCTTTTCAGAACTGGGGCATCGGATATCGAAGATCTTCATCGGTAAGCGAATGCACTTATAAAACAAGTAATCATTTTTCAAAGTCACTTTAAGAAAGTAAGTACTCGCGTTGAGGTGTGCAAGATTAAGATAGAAGAAGTTTATCATCGACGATTACCGGGACAATGATAACGCGACGATGAAGGATAATGATACCCGAGATGTTATTACGCGTACAAATAATGGCGGATTTGATACACCGTCGTAATTATCGTGATTCCCTGTAATATCCGCAATGTCTCCCCGATGTCTCGCTTATTAATCACGGCGTTACAATGTTGCACGACATTATGTATCTCGCAGAAACGATCGCGTCCCGTTCGTGAAACACGGCCACTAAATTAAAACCGTCCTTGGCGAGGGAACGTGTTTTTCGCGGGACGATCCGGCGACTAGCGATGAATCAAACTAATTAAATCGTTCTCCCACGCGGTACGATTATTCTCTTTGAAATCGCGACCAGCCTGTATAGCTGGGATTCATTCTTCGACAACGCGCTCGTAAGCGTTGCTCGTTTTTCGATGCTGGTCCCAAGAGCCTCGAGTAATCGAAGGACGTAACCCAGTTTCGTTGGGATAATCGTAATCGTTTAAATCGTAATAAACACGTTCTGGGCAAAAATACGCAACTGGTTCGAATAGGAAAACAGCCAGAAGCATTGTTCGTCTGGTTCGCTGGATGAGCCAGTGAATTTTCGACAGTTTTTGGGTCACTCGGCGAACCGATGGCTAAAATTGAAAGTACAGGGGGCTTAAAAGCGAGCCTAACCACGGGTTAGGTTAGTCGTTTGGTGTTCGCGTGTCTGTGTCCGGTCTGGCCCCACGCGTATCTTAAGCTCCGCTCGTTCGGCTCTTTCGCGAGTTTTTTCACTACACGAACGAATCTCCGAGGAACTCTTTTGGCCGGCACGCCGGTTGAAACCGAATTTAGAGCGTGTAGTGGTAGTGAAAAGGAGTAGCCGTCTGAAGAGAAGGGCAAGGAAGAAAAAGAGAGGATCTCTCTTGCTCGTAGCCGCAAACTCGCGGCTGAACGGGCAGCATAGGAGATTCGTTATACGCCGGCGTGCAGGATGAAAGATACGGCCGTACGACGAAACGAAGGAAAATTATGAGCGGGTGCTAACGCGAAGTAATATTTAATGCGGCAGAAAATTTTGCCCCGTGCGGACCAACGTTGCGAAATACTCGTGATTTTTCTCCTTTCTTTTTTATTCCCTCTCATCCACCGTCTGTTCTTTATTTATTTTATTATTCTTTTTCTCGTTTTCGTACACGTCGTTGGTGGTGCCTCGAAGTGCCGTGCCGGTAATTAATGGCGTTAATATGTTTAACAAAGGCAATTAATATCCAGGATTGGCAAACAAACGAGGGAAGCGGAAAACGCGGGACGCGTTGGTCGGAAACGAAACAGCCCACGGTTTTAAGCTGTAAATTTATGACGAACCAGACGATTGACGTGTTCTGATAATTAACACGTAATAACATACCGTTAATATTTCTTCTACAATTGCATATCCTGCAATATTCATGCGTTCCTCTTTTTTCTTTTTTTTCTTTTTTTTCGCCGTTCCACTACTGGTTGCATAATAACCCGCTCATTAACTTTGCAATCAGATCGAACCGTGTGTTGGCGATCTTACGTGAATAACCGCGCTTCTTTTATTATTCCTACATTGTGTCTATTCTTCTAAACGTAT